TTGCATGGCATGGCTGTGCGATGTCTGTGCTAGCAATCGGCCTTTGCGTGCCCCGGACGGATTGGTCGAGCGTCGCGAGTCAAGTCATAACCACGAAGGTGCATGCAGTCGTGAGTCTCGGTGCAATCAAGAGTGGCTGAAGCTGTAGGTACACGACAGGGCAAGTCAATTGCACCGCAGAACGCGCAACACCTATATAGCGAAGACTTGATCTATCCCACTTGCTGCGGCTTGACGTGGCGTGTGGTGGCGCTTTGGCTCGTGCATGCACGCCTTGACGCTCCAGTGCTCGGCGCAGCTGACCGGTTGGTCAGCCCCGATCACGCATGAGCGACCATCGACTCACACTGGAATGGGCTGCGCGCTAGGCGGCCCAGCTAGGTCTTCAAGTCGATCGCGATCAAAGAGAGCAACTTGGCAAGCTGCTGCTCACGTCTGCGCAGCCCCGAGCTCAGCATCTTGCTTGCTACCCAACAACCACCAATCTCCGCTACAGTATGCTCGATTGGCATGGCACGGCCACGGCACGTACGCAATCATCACGAATGCCAGGAGGTTGCTGACTGCTTTTGAGCAGCATCTCTCTCTCTCTCTCTGCGCCCTGATTCTGCGTCGTTGATGCGTGTACCGCTGCCTGTCAGCCCCGATGGGCTGCATGTGCATCGTCCACGCCTTGGCACCGGCGGCAAGGCTGAGTTCGCAGCAGGTGCGAGCGAGGCTTTTGCCTCTACTACTGCCGCACACACACCGTCCCCTGCCTGGCCCAAGTCATGCCCACTGTCCATCGACTGCTTGTTCAAGTTACAGCAGTCTCGCTTGGTGAGCAGGAAATCATGAGCATGTAGGCCGCACAAGCGCCTCTGGGTCTGGCGAATGGTACGGACATGCAAACGCATAAAGGCACGCTTCGGTCCTCTTCTCCTCCTCCTCCCTCCCTTCATCCCTTTCCTCACCTCGCTACTTCACCATCCCCCGAGGCGACGGCTCTCTCTCTCTCTACCTCAAAAGCAGCTTGCCTGATCTGCGAAGACGCTCTTCGCATCTGCGCAAATCTGCTCGCTGTCAAGTATCAGGCACAAACCTATCATCACTCACATCACATCACTGAAGCCTGGTCCGTCATGCGCTCCTCGTCGTTGCTCATCTCGCTGCTTTGCTTCGTGCTCTCAGCCAGCGCAACTCCAGTCGATCCAGTCGCTATTGCGCCACCTCAGGTCGTCTCTACCCTCCCTGAATCGGTAGCTGTCAAGGACGGCAAGGATGCCGGCTCGACGTTTGGTACTGCGCTCTGGGGTGTGCCTGGAATTGGCGGCTTTCAACCGATTTGGAAGCGTCGCAAGCGTGCAGAAGTGCAAGACTCGACTGATAAATCCGACATTCAGACGTTAAGGAACGATCACATCTTCCTTGCCAAACGCGGCCAATTTGATCTACCCAAGTTCGATACTGCTATCAAGAATGGCAAACTTGTGTACAAATGGACGGATGGGGGCCGTACTTGGGGCAATCCTATCGCAAGGCGTTCGTCTTCAAACGACGCGCAAGAAAGAGATCTCGTGGCGGACCCTATCATCGAGGAATCCTCCGCCGAAGATTTTCGAAACAAAGCCATGAAGATTGCCTTGCCGGTCTGGCCTGCTAAATCCGATTGTGGAAACTCGTGGCATAACCCTTGTAGAAGACGTCCACGCACCTTGAAGGGGAACGTGCTCGAGAGCCGCTCTGGCACGCCAGACACCATGCGACCAAGAGCTGCAGAGGCTGCTAATCTTGAGAGCCTTCCTAGCGGCACCGTAACTCGCAGGCTGGTCGGGGGGTCTTCGGACAAGCAGCGTGCAGGGGTAGCCGAAATCACAAAATCGCAAGTCAATGAGCATCGCAGGAGCGATCTCGGTGTCACGGAGAGTGAACTGCGCGTCCACAGCTCGAGATCGGAGCTTCCCGACTTGAAGACAGCTCTTCATGAAGCGGCCAAAGGATGGGGACTCGTTGGACACAACTGGGGCAAGCGTGGACCGTTCAAGCGATGGTCAGTCCCAGGACGCCACACGACGGATGAGAAGAATCCGACTAGCAGGCGGGCGGACTTTTGGGATGAAGACGCAGAAGTTGGCGTTGCCCAGCCAGCTTTCGCTGCACCCATCTACGGGCGCGATCTCGCGACCAAGAAGACAAAGTCGGGGGCGGCGCAGACTGACTTTGCGATACCAATTTACGGACAAGGCGGAGCGCTGGAAAGACGCGACCCCAGATGGCCTCTGGTGCTTGGCAGCGCGAAGAAAGGAGACAAGGGTCAGACGTGGGGACGCCGAGACGTGAGCTTGACGAAAGACGGGAAGGATTGGGTGTTGCCAGAGGATGGTACAGAGGTAGGCCCTTCCACGATCCAGACGGCCAGGAGTGGTGAGTCACGAGCCCCGGTGCAACACGTCGGTCGAACGCTAGGCTGACTCTGCGAGCGCATAACCACAGTGCAAGAGGTCAAGGGCAATCAGGCTGCACCTCGAGCTCCCTCATCCGCTCTAGACCTAGACAAGCGTGCGAAGGAATTTGCCGTGCCCATCAACGGTTGGGCCAACACTCGTGGGAGGCGTGCGAGTCCACGCGGCGCGCACATCATGTCTCGAGAGCTGGACGACGGGCCATTCTTTCCTTTTCCTGGGGGTAGTGCTTGGGGCGAACGCTCGATGAGTCAAGAGGCTGATGCTGCAATCTCGTCTCTCCTTGGAGTGAGGTCCGACCCTGTGGTCGAGGATGCTCACCCGTCGCAAGCAGGAGAGCCTATCCATGCTTCAGACCGGCTCAAGGGTCCGAAGTGGGGCTGGCCCTCCTGGGCAGGAACGAAGCCCATCACGAGTCGCGACTCTGGATCAGCTCCTGGCATTGGCCACAAGGTCGTTGAAGAAGCGCGCGAGCGCGACGATGATCTCGACATTTCGGACGAGTTGGCTTCTAAGATCAAGTCCGAAGTCCACATCGCGTGGCCTGTGCACGGGGTCGGATTTGCAGAGCGGAGCGAAGCAGCGTCCAAGCGCTGGGCATTTATTGGTGTGGACGGGGGTCACCGTGCGGTTCCGGACTGGGATGAAGGCAAAAGATCACTGCGCAAGCGCGAAGTGCCTCAGGATGGTCAGGCCAAGATCAAAAGGTGGGGTTGGGGCCTCCCTTGGGGATGTGGCGATTGCCATGACGACGCTGCAGTGATTTCGCGCTAGAGCCCCGTTCGTTGCGCTCCTTCCGCATTCCGCTTCAAATGCCCGGACCGACCAGCTCCTTCAATACCGCACACTCGTCAGAATTGACGCGTCATGTAATTCTCCCATCACTTGCCCCTTTTCTCGATGCTATGTAGTGCTGCGTCCCGAGACTCTGCGTGTCTGTAAACACTTTACAGGAATCACGAGAATGGTGCAAACGCGGGCGTGTGCGTGGGGTCACGAGTGAGCAGCAGCGACGGCTCAGATCAATGGGTGCGTCGATGCCACGGACAGGACTGCGCGAATGTTGTCGACCAATCGATTAGTATCCAGCACCTTGGCAGTGACTTTGTACTTGTTATTCTCGTCCGGCTCTACGTGCGTGATGTGCATCGCAGCGATTTCGGGCTCGGCTGCGGCAAATTCAGCGACCGCCTCGGTGATGTCCTTTTGAGCGTGGACGTTGGTGATGCTCTGCAAAGTTGGAGAGTGCCACGTCACTTGTGCAGGAGGAGTCGCTGGTCGGTGAATAGATTCGATGTTCTCAGCTGCTGTGCCGCTGGTGCTTGCGCTCTCATCATCAGCTCTGCTCTCGAGGTTGTGAACGGTGAACAAGGCTTGCAAGCTGCGCCTGCATCCAAGCGGGCAGATACCTATAGTGCCCAGAGGCGTTTTCTGCCCAGGCGTGTCACCGCGAGTGTTCCGGCGGATGGCCTTGCTCACCTGCAAGAGAACAAAGCTGGTTTGAGCGAGGGACGGTGCTACTGTTACGGCCTTCTTGCTCACCAGGTCGTCCGACGGCAGTGGAGCTGCCAATGCCAGCGTGACAATCGCAAGGAGTGTCATCACAATCAGCTTGTGTGACGTTTTGGCAAAGAACCAGCGCATGATGCAGAGAGGCGAGCGGGCCGGTCGGTCACTGGGTGATCTTGTTGCTGCGGAGGTCTGCTGAGACTTGCTGCTGACTACTTTGCCTCCGGCGAACACTTGTTTTTTAAGCTCTTGACGCTTGTTGCCGCCAAAGAGAGCAAGTCAGCATGTGCTCTTGGACTGTCCATACTTGCTGCTGTGTCTCAAGGTGCGTTGCGTCTGGAAAGCGGACGCAGTTTCGCAAAATTTGCCACATTTTGCCACGCGTTTGAAACAGTGAGAGGACCCTTCGGTCATCTCACGACGAGCAAAAGTGGACTGCGCTTTAGCGAGTAGGGTTGCTGAGAGGACTCAAGAGGTTCTGGTTGGGAGGACCATCGCAGTCTTGACTCACGTCTCATTGTCAAATGATGAAAATAATTAATGATGTCCAATCTTTATGGGGAGTCGCGTGATCCACTTTGAATAGGCGTCGTTTCTGATCCCTCTTAAAACTCATCAAGAACGTGACGGTGCGCACAACCTCCTCATGGTCTGCCAGCATCGGACCGACGTCGCAGCTCAATCAGGGCAGGTTAGTCCGGTTAGAGGGGCATGGTGCTTCAGGAGAGGAGAGAATGGGAAGACCTACCTACACATTGGGTCAGAGGCCTTTTAAACGCGCCCGTGAGCAGCTTGGCATGCATGCTCATCTCATCGTCATCCGCCCTTGACACGGAGTGCTGATGAATCACACGACTGGATGATCGAATTCAAAGAGAAGAGAGAGAGGTGTTTACATGCTGGATATGGATGTATGATGTGGATGCAGGGGACACGTAGGTGCATGACTCAACCGAGTCACGTAATTCAACAGGTGCCGTGTGTTGGAAGGGCGAAGTTCCAAGACAACGATGCGGGACTATTTGCTCAGACGTGCCAGCCGCTGGAACGCGATCGACCACGTACTGTTAGCCGATGCACGATATCAAGCAACGTAGTTCTTTCTTTCGATTGACCATGCTTGACACACTTCCACTTCAGAGTCCGCTGCCTGCAAGACAGGTCGACTTGTTCTTCGTGCCCGCGAGAAAGCCCTCTGTGCTG